AAAGAAATCACGAGACGATGACTATGAGGTATATCTAAAGGTTTTTACTGTTGTGAGTTGCCTTATTGGCTGTTACAGACCTTGATGATAGTTTGCACTTCTGAGGTGCTTCTCAGTTTTTCGCCCTGCAAGACTTCTGTGTGCATTCTGCGTGTTTTTCTTCTTCTAGTATCTCTGTAAGGCAGTTAGGGGTGATATTACCATTTCACTTTTTTTCTTTTGGTAAAACATATGTAACATAAAATTTACCATTTTATTTATTTCACGCTTTTTAAAAATGTCCAGTTCAGTGGCATTAAGTACTTGCACATGTTGTGCAACCATCACCACTGTCCATCTCCAGAACTTTTCCATCTCCCCAAACTGAAACTTTGTCCCATTAAACACTGACTCCCCATCCCCCTCCCCCAGCCCCTGGCACCCACTGTTCTGCTTTCTGATGAACCCGACTTTTCCACGTACCTCCTTACCATTTCATTTTATAAGCGAAAAACCGGAGAGAATCAGGAAATGAACCCAGATTTTAGTAGCAAGTTATTTATCATGTAGATGGTCTAAAGTAAACGTACTTTGTGAAAATTGGTCAGTTTATCATCTTTTTATTATAAGAGAAAAGATAGTTTGAGAAGCTATTTCAGAATCCAGGAACAAGCCTTTTGGGGGTAGAGGAGAAGAAAAAAAATAGTTTACCAACCATAAGTCTGTTCTAAACATATCTTTGAAATATGTGACTGTCAAACCTTTAATAGTTCTTGACCAAGGACCAGACCATTTGATTGATGTCTGTCATCCCATCTCTGCTGTCAATGCCTCTTCATCCTGCTGATGCCAGCAGCTTTCCTGCCACCCTCCTCAGCCTTGTTCTCTCTTCCCAACCTTATTTCCATCTCTTCTCTACTGCAGCTGAAACTTATGACTCCAGCCTTTGACTCTACCTTCAGACAAGCTCTGGGGGCTGTTTCATGCCTGCCACCTTTGCCTGCCGTTTTGTGTTTTCCTAAACTGATGTTTGTCAGAATGATCCTTAAAACCACCTACACTGGAACCACTTACTTAAGCCCTTGTTAAAGGTTCATAGTCCTGCCCTCATTCCACATCTACTCAGCCAGAATCTCTGCTTGATGGGGCTGGTTAATCCGCATGTTTAACAGCGTCCCAGGGCACCCTGTCCACACTGAAGTTTGAGAGCCACGACCCCAGATGTTGGGTGAATAGACGTTCAGGGGTTCAAGGCTTTGTAGATTCCTAGAGACTCTGTGTATTAACCTGGAAATGGTTGTTTTAGTGGGAAAAATGTATTCTGAATTCATATAGCCAACTTAAAATTTAATTCTTAGGACGTGCCTGATTTGAGTTTGATTTTTTTTTTTTATTCTCTTTCATTTCCCCCACCCACCAGCCCCTGGCAACCACTTTTCTACTCTGTGTTTCTCTGAGTTTGGCTTTTTTTTTTTTTAAGATTACACGTGTAAGCGAGATCATACAGTATTTGTCTTTCTTTGTTTCACTTAGCTTAATGTCCTCAAGGTCCATCCATGTTGTCACAAATGGCAGAATTTTTCTTTCTCATGGCTGAATAATATTCCAGTATTCCATATATACACACACACACACACACCACTTCTTCTTTATCCATTCATCCACTGGCGGACACTCAGGTTATTTCCATATCTTGGCTATTGTGAATAATGCTGCAGTGAACTTGGGAGTGCAGATATCGCTTCAATATCCTGTTTTCACTTCCTTTGGATAAATACTCAGAAGTGGAATTGCTGGAACATATGGTAGCTCTATTTTTAATTCTTTGAGGAACCTCCATACTGTTTTCCATAGTGTCTGCACCACTTTACATTCCCACCAACAATGCATGAGGGTTCCCTTTTCTCCACGTCCTCACCAGCACTTATTTCTTGACTTTTTGAGAATAGCCATTCTAACAGGTGTGAGGTGCTATCTCACTGTGGTTTTTTTTTTTTTTT